TTGTTGTTTAAATGCCCTGTACTTTTGTAGTTTCCGAGTTTTTCTCTTCCCCTCCTTCGGGTTTGTGCGCCACCCTGAGTCCCGCAGGGAATAGGGCGGCATATAAATAAAATGAAACTCAAACTCAATCGGAGGACAACACAATAAAAGACTCCAGAGTTCCTGTAAGAATAAATGATACCTCACATCCTCGCCGTCTTCAAGCATTGAGAGACAGATTGTGCACTTCTCATCAGTATCTGACTCTTCCCCTTCTTCCTTTTCTATCTTGTCTTCCTGCGGCCATCGCTGTCGGCAAAGACACACACAGACACAAAAACAGTGTCACAACAAACGCTACTCAAATGAAAGGTAGCAAGGCGGAGAGGTCAGGGGTGGGCTTCAAAAAATTTAGCAATGGTTCTCTGCCAGGTTGCTGTGTGGGTTTGGCCACAATGAGTGGGGCCATGGGGTGTGACAGGCAGTACTCATCCTCCTGCACTCCCCTGGGCGTGGCCTAGTTGGCCTCATGCACCATGGTGGGAGGGGATGTTTTTGTCCTTCTCAGATTTCCTTGATCCTCCGGGAGGGTGAAAATGGCCTCCCACAGGCTCCAGAGGCCCCCTACCCCAAGAGGCCACAAACGGGCCCATTTCCGGACTTCTGGAACTCCCGGGAGGCCTGCTTTTTGTGTACTGAGAATGCTTCTCACCAAGGGGGGGGGATGGAGGAGGCAAGGTGCATCCATTAGCCACCCTTCCCCTAAGAAATGGGTGAATTGCAAACTAGAACTGGTCCCATCCTTCTGTAGAATTTTCAGTGTAAATTCTTCTCCAACCACCTAATGTAGTGGAACCGTAATTGTGAACCACTAGGCTGCTGCGGATTCGCACGGATTCAAGCGATCTTCTAGCTAAGGATCTGCCCAGTTCGGCGAACCTGCAAAGCCCACCCCTGACTGGCCCCGCCCACCCCACCCTGGCCCACCACTTCCCTCCCTGAGCCTCCACACGGCCCCTGTATTACCTGGCATCCCAAACAGGCTGTGTGGGGACTCCTGGAGGGAAGGGGTGGGGCAGGGCAGAGTGGGTGGGGCCAGCCAGGGGTGGGCTTTGCGGGTTCGCCAAACTGGGCAGATCCTTAGCTAGAAGATCGCTTGAATCCGTGCAAATCCGCAGCAGCCGAGAGGTTCACAATTACGGTTCCACTATATTAGGTGGTTGGAGAAGAATTTACACTGAGAATTCTACAGAAGGATGAGACCAGTTCTAGTTTGCAATTCAACCATTTCTTAGGGGAAGGGTGGCTAATGGATGCAGCTTGCCTCCTCCTCCCCCCCCCCCTCGGTGAGAAGCATTCTCAATACACACTTTCACCGGTTCCCTGCTAAAGGTGTCCACTGAATCTCTGGAAGATTG